ACAAAGTGCACCCGCATCCTTGAACAGGAGACCGTTGTGGGGGGGGGTATTGGGTAGGGAAATCCGCAGAGAATGGCCTGCCATATTGATTAAGGAACCAGGGAGCTTGAGAGAGGCGCTTTAGCACATGTTCTATCGACCAGCAGCCATACAATCATACAGACATGGCAACAAAGGGGGGGAATTATAGAGACGTGTTGTGATTCTGACCTGTAAACTGAGGAATTAAAATCAGACATAGAGGCTCAAAGAAGGAGGAGAGACTGGCGCATCCACTTATTCCGCTATGTTTCGCTGAATTCTCATGTATAGTTGTTATTTGCCCAAATTGCAAACATAATGCAATCATGTGTGTGCATGTGATGTATCATGCGACTGCTTGCTGACGTGTAATTGTGTGAAGAGGGCTGCCTTATCGATCTGTAGAGCAAGGCCCCATCAATGTTTAATGCAGTCTCTCTCGCTTTTTCATTTCTCTGCCTCCCTCTCTCTATCCCTCTCTCTGTATCTGTGGAAACAGCCTACCATTTGGTATTGATCTGCCACTTGCTGCTAATGAGAAGGAGCTGTGCTTTCTGGCAATGGAAGCTAGGCCCTCCGTTGAGCCTTGATTTTGGCTCGGCTTGTGACTTCTGGGTTTTGACGAGAACACTGGGAGTGTATCAGCTTTAGCGAGCCATACACAATGAGCCAAACCACATCCGTTATATGTTTGAGAGTAACTAATATTCTGCGATGTAGTCACAATACATCCCCCAGCCTTGCAGCTCTTTGAATCTATACCAGGCAAGCTACCCTGACACCTACAAGCTATTGTTTTCCAATTGATTTATGACTTAGTCAACATTAAGCTCTCTATGTTAATAATTTTCCCACAGACTGAACTGCTAGTGAACCTGGCAGTGTTTAATTTATTGGAGCTTGCAGGTGGAGCTGACATAGCAGAATATGAATGCAGGAGAAAACACTCTGGGCTACCCTCCAAACATAAGGGACTACAGCTAGTTGTTGTCTTTTTGTCTAAGGATAGAGGGTGTCGTTGTTCTCATACTGATATTCTGAACAATCTGTGCTGTTGTATTTGCTGTAAAGTGTCTCTACTGTAGGCTAATTTTATTATATGTACAGCACTTTGGCTCGACCAAAAATCGTTTATAAATGTGCTATATAAATAAAACTTGATTTGATTTGATTCCCTGTCTTCCAAATGACTTGGTAAAAACTGATGGGAGAGATAGTAACAGGATGTGCGGTCAGACTTTACTGCGATTGGAATCAGCGAGACATGGAAAGGGAGGACAAATTGTTTAAGGGTGTCTTATAGGCTAAGCTGAGGAGTAATGGAGCATTCAATTCCTGGATCCCAAATACAGTGAGGAAAGATAAGTCAAAGGAAATATGTTTTTCAACTACTTAAAATGCAAATTTACAGTTACTAGACAACACAAAAAAAAATCTATATATACAAATAAATGTATCTGTGTCATATGTATTTAAAAATGACCAGAAGTCAATCTGATAATGTTTCCTTTAAAACAGTAATGATATGTTGCTATGAACCTAATTGTTTTTCGCAGCTTAGGTCATTTAATAAATTATAATTTCAACAATAAACCTGAATTTGCCATAAAAGAGCTGGCTTATCCAATTAATGTGGGTTGCTTGTTTTAAAAGGAATCTCTTCAAATCCACTTATGATTAAATGGATGAATGGTCCACATAACAGCTAATTTAAAACTCACACACATACACGTACACAAGGGACATTTTCCAAATCCCCAGTGCCAGTGGACAGGTGTGTGAGCCTCGGCATGACGGCTGTGCGAGTCCCACCCTGTTGCTAATAACCACTTAGCATACTCCATTCACTCATCTGCTACTCTGATATTCTGCTAATGGTGGACATTAGGTCACATGATATGGCTCATCCAGCCCTCCCAAGGGCCTTTGACCTTTTTTTTGCTTCCTACCCTCGCCATCTTGCACCTCCTTCCCCCTTCCTTGCTTTTAAAAGGAAATGGGAAATGGTCTACCAAGTGCCCGTGTGATTTGACTAAAGCTTCTGTGATTTCCCCTGAGAAAGGGTTGGCAGTCCCCACAACGCTGGCTGGCGCTTAGGGTTGTTTCATGCTCCTATCTCCCCAGCTGACAGCGAGTCGCACAGGCAGGCAGGCAGGCTGGAGCTAGCTGGCTGACTGTGGAAACTAGACAAGGCAGATCTTAGGGAAATTGAAATACTCTGATGGAAGCTGGTGTGAACAAGACTGTCACTGTAGGGGTACACAGAAAATTGCTCTCTGAGTTGGCTGGTGAATGTGTGACTGCGTGTGTATGTGTGTGTATGTGCTCAGCATGTGTGTCCGTTTGTGGCTTAATGTGTATCTGTGTAAGTGCTTGTGTGTGCAGCTGAATTACCTAGGCTAATTGGTTTCATGTCTGAGGACAGTTTCTCCCAGTAAGTGGAGATTGAGAATTAAAAGCCTCTTTCTTTCCTACCGGTGGCTTGTCACTCATCCTCTGTGTACTTGTTTTTTACCAAGACCACTTGAACTGCAGATGACAGGCTTCGAGTGCTCCATCATTTGGAATGATTTCCAAATCACTGCAAGTTCAGTCAGATTCCAAGTAAGCAACAGCTGGTGGTGTGTGCTTCCTGTGGAGGAGTAGGTAAAGGGAGGGTGCTTAGGGCTGAAACCTCTTCTTGAACAAGTACAGCGTCTGCTGGTTGTGTCTTTGCATTCAATCAGAGTGAGATTTCTCTCTTATCAACGACACGTGTGGGCGTCGCTAGCCAACCGTTGCTGTGATAGTGGAAGACTTCCAAGCCAAAGACACCAACCGCCGTTGCTCTGAAAATCCCCACACAACCTGCTTATCTACCAGAGATCACTCAGACATACCATTCACTCCTCTGTCTCTGTTTTTTATCTCTCTGGCCACAACAGACTCTACTCAGGGCATGTTGTGGCAGGGGACATAAAAAAAATATTAAATATGCCCTGGTTCACTCTCAATAAGAGGGAAGGTTTAAGCCAGAAATAAACTGTCAGTAACCGGGGATATTATGAATTTATCATTACACTGCTAAGGCCAACATGTCATCCAGTCCATCACTCTATAAATCTATCTGTGTGTGAGAGAGAGGAGCATGATCGACCAGTCATACTTCTCTCTTCTTTCCTCTATCAGGTTTCCACATTTCAGTCTGTCAACAGGGCAGATATTAATGAAAACGGGGATGACAAACTTCATTGGGGAACTGCCAAACGTATTTGTCTAAGATGTGTCACTGAGGATTAGTAAGAGGTAATCTTTGTCTTATATTACATAGACATGGGGCCAGATAAGACACCTTGTGTAATACAAGTCGAAAGTGAGATAGATAAATTCTCTAAAACTGTTCCCCTATGACAGATCTTTCTTTCAGAGGCCATAACTTTTTATTGTTTCATTTTTGTTTGCAACCAGAGCGCGATATAGTAATACAAGGTGCATCTTGAGATTCAGTAAAAATACTCAGAAAATCCCAGAGAAACACAAGACATCTTTGCCCCTTGTCAATAAAGTAGGGCTGTCAGTCGATCAAAAATATTTAATCGCGATTGATCGGACATGTTTTATCTGTTCTAAATGCCTTTTTGAAGTTTTTAATACTCTTATCAACATATGAGTGGACAAATATGCTTTATGCAAATGTTTGTTTATTATCATTTGAACAATGACAAATATTCTCATGAATATTTTCAATACAACAACCTGGAACCTCTCTCTCTCTCTTCACTCTCTCCCAACCCTGTGTACTTCTTTGCACTGAGCCAGTTGCTCAAACAGACAAGCCTGTTTACAGTTGTCGGCGAAATGCCGCTCCTCTGTCATCACAACAGTCAAAGCATGAGACTGAAGTTCACTGTGGGTCAGAATAATGCGCTGTGATGTGCAGTCGACACGTTGGATGCGATCCGAATTATCTAACGCCCCTCGTCCTCCACAATGTTAAGCTGTAGCCACCCATTTAGCTATCGCTGTTGTTGTCCAGGCGTCTTTTGATGCGTCTCCCCGACAAACTTTCACGCGTGGTCTGCCACAAGCGAGCGGCAGGAGCGGGGCTGTCAGCATCAGCTGTGTGCTTGGCTTGCTGTTTAAAACACCTTTTTTGTATCCATATCTCTCGCTAGAATCTCCCACCATCCAACTAACAACAACGTCAAGCCTTTGGGCTCTGAAACTACGGGAAGGGCCGAGGACAAATACACATGGGTTAATCGCACGTTACAAATAATTAGTTATTAACGCGTTAAATTGACAGCCCTACAATAAAGCTCTCTCAATACTACACATTTTGGAAACATATATATTTTATAACCGTGGTTTGAGAAGAACTGACACAAACAGTATTGGGATCTCTGCCAAACTAGTTTCCATTGTATGTCCTCACTCAGAGTAAACACACTGCAAAGGCCTCGTCTTGGAGGGCTCCCTCTGCATTTGTGAATCCGTTTTTTGTGTAAACAATGTGACACATTTTAGCACTAACATACAATCACATGCAAACCCATGCTGTGTTACTCATGTGCACTCGGACAAATACAACCACATCCACTCCAATGCATGCACACGCCCGCACACGGACAAAGGCAGGATGCACACACTGGTTGTCCTGCTCACACAGAGAGAACACAATACAAAGCACAGCATTTAACAGTATGACAGAGGCTCTCAGACATTCCTTCCAGCAAAAGTGCCAACGCTTTGTTTCCATGTCTCTTGTCTTAACTGAAGTCTTGCAGAGATGGATGAAGCGCTGTGAAGTATCCATCTCATCTCTGTGCATCAATGATAGTGTCAAGTGTCATTGTGCTATATACATTTAAAAAAATAAAGATTGAGAAGTGATCACTGGGGCTTGAATGCAGTTCAACTCTGTGGAATGATACTCAAAATAGCTTTTCTGAGGCTAACCACTGTCTTCCTCTCTCTCTCTCCCTCTTCCTTCGCTGCAGAGACCGTGATGGACACTCGGGTGGCCACAGCTGAACTGGGCTGGACAGCATATCCAAATACTGGGGTGAGTCAGATATTGCTAAGACTTAAGCATGCTGGGTAAAAAACTGTGCAAACTATTTCTGATGGGGAAAAGATACGGTGATATGTAACATGAAACACAGTGCACGTACAGTTCTACAACCAGACAGACAAATAGGCAGGAAGGCATTCAGGATGGGAGTATAGACAAAGTAGTGCCCAATGTAGCTCCTATTATGGGTATTATTTTCTCTCTGTCCCAGCTCATAATGGCTTAATGACATAATGGGCCCACCTAAGCCCCAGAATACAGTACCTAAGTCCCTTTAAATGGAGGCTGGGGGATACCATAGACATAATGATACTGTAATGATACATTTATGCAGGGAAGTGGAGGTATTAGCATGAAACGGGGGAGGAGGAGCTAAGAAGATGGAAACGCTCAGGGCTTTGTCAGATTTTTGGAGAACTATTTTCAACTTTCAGGTAGTTTCATGCACATGAAAGCGTTGGAAATGGAAGAAAGTGCAAAGTCATCTGAATCGGAACAGGTTTATTTTTTTTCTGAAAGAATCACAGTATCAAAAGTATGATTGCCCTATTACACTAATGGATTTAAAGACCATTTTAGGGCCTTGTTCTCTTTTCCCTAATTCAATATTTTAAGCTCCATAGACTAACACTGATAGCATGAATCTGGCAAGAGCCATCCAGGACAGACAATGACTCTTTCCTTCATTTTCTGGGTCTGTAGGTCTTTATGAGGCATTTAACACGCGTGTAAAGGGAGGTTTTATTGCTCTTAAACAGAGCTTTGCCTCTGTTTGAACATTGGAGAGTGTGGCGGTCCACATTTCCTTTAGTTTCCCTAAAGGAGTATTATCTAAAATAACCAGGACCATGGAATAACCAGAGAGATTGTTTATGTGTATACAAATGTATGTTTGTGTGTGCATGTGTATTATATTTTCCCTCACCAAATATAGTTTTGTAATATAATTGTTTTCAAATTTTAATTATTAGTTGGGTCCACACTTACATAATAAGTATGCAATGGAATAAACATGATTTTTAAATAATGGATCAGCCTCACACTGTCAATTTATTTGTGTGAAGAGGAAGTATCTAGTAACTAGAGACATCTACAGTTCTATTTCCAGTAAAGCCTGTTCAGTTCAGCATGCCTCCAGGCACACAGAGCCTCCTGTCTGTGTTGAGCAGAGTTTTTTAAGCTTCTCCTGGTGCAAAGGTTCAGGCACAGAGAGACCTGCTGTAGGGAGAATACACTCATACCACTCAATGGAAGAACTGAGCATGCTCCATAGCTGCTTTGACCTTGCTGAAAGTGTGTGAGTGATGCTGGGTAGACATTCACACACGCACACAAAATTCTAATTCACAAAATGTTATATAATGGACATATATGGCGAAAGGTCAATCTCATATCCATGGCTGTAGTAGGCTATAATAAGGTGAACATTGGTGTCTATTTAAAGATACAGAATGTGTTAGCCATGTGAATACTTGTATAACTACACTTACATATTTTTTATTTATTTTAATAGTACTGGATTTGTTTGTATTTGTAAGTGGTCAATTTATTTGTCTTTGTTAACCTGGTAACTGCCTCTCTAACACACACAACAAGAAAAAGGGCACACTCACACAAGAGTTGTCCCTTTGCTATTAAATACATCTCATTACTTTCTTTTGGTAACTTATCCTTCTGGAGTTTATACGAAGTGTGTGTGTGTGTGTGTGTGTGTGTGTGTGTGTGTGTGTGTGTGTGTGTGTGTGTGTGTGTGTGTGTGTGTTTGGCTGACCTAGGGGGTTAATTTTGAAGGATTGCAGAAGCAGTGTCATTAGTTCCAGCGGTGTAAACACAAGGACATATCAGGGTTGGCCATGTGAATGTATAATGGAGCGGCAATATGCGGATGCACACTCCCCTGTTTGCCTCTGCCGTAAGCCGAGGAGGGCTCAGAAGGAAAACAGATGTGTACAGCAAACAATATGACAATATATTTTAATAATGTACATTTTCGCTCCATCTTTCTCTGTTGTTTCATTTCAGTTGGATATATTCCACTTTTCCCCTCTGTGGACTTTCCCCTCCCATTACTTTTTTCTCTGTGTCTGTCTCCCCTTTCGAGTCATTCCTGACTTTCTTTCTTACCGTCTGTTTTCCTTTCATGCACACCTACCTAAGGAAAATACAGAGTCTCACATGCCCTCAACTGTGCCATGTTTTCACGTGACGGACAACCTGTTTTCTGAAACCTCATTTAAATGATGAACCTGGTTTTTCTTCATTAGGCTTTCAAAGAAAATCTAACAAACTATTTATGTAAAAAAACCTCTTTACCCAAGTTTGACCAAACTTTAAAGTTATCTCACTTTAGTTGTGGACATAAATGTGTTTTCTCACAGTATCTGGTTTCAGTGTGAACAATGTATGTACAGCAAAGTGAAGTAGAAGAAGAGCAAGTGTTTGTTCTCTAGGTGTTTTTAAAGAAATGCTGCAAAAGGTGTTTGAAATACATGCCAGAAGAAGAAGAAGTCTCTTTTTCTCTTTTTTTCCTTATACTCTTCCCTGTTTTAACTTGAAATGTTTTTATGTTGCCAAAACAGGGTAATAACCTGGAAATAAAACACTTTTTTTTTATTGATCAAAACTTAAAACAATTTTAAAAAGTAATTTTTCTTCATATTCTTTAATGACTTGGTATGGGAGTTAGAACAAATGTGTTTTGCTGGATGGCGTTTGGGGGAGTGGGGAAGAGAGGAAAGGGCAAAGAGTGTGGGATGAAAGGAGCTGTGAGAAGAGATGTAGAAGTTATGTCGGAGCAGCTGAAAAGGGTTGCAGGATCAGGAACAGGGTTGAAAAGGAGGGGATTAGGAAAACTGGAGCGAGAGGGTAAGAGATCAACTTTGTGTGAACAGGACTAAAAAAAGGCAGCCGTGCAGAACTTCAATATGGGTGTGCGTGTGGAAGAGAGCTTGGGTTAACTTGTGACTCTGGGAGGTCACAGACAGAGTTCAGGCTTTAAGGTGAGAGCCTTGAGGGGAGGGGTGTTGGGGGGTTAAGGGGTATTAAGGGCGGCGGTGGCTGCGCTGACAGGCTGTGTGGGTGTTGTCAAGCGTGAAGAAACAGGACAGGTTGGTGAGGGGCTTGGGAAAGAGAGGGATAAAGAATTTGCCAAGTGAGCAGGCAGGGGGAGAGCAGGACAAACATCGGGGGACACAACAGACACGACAAGGTACTGGGAGTTAGACAGAAGCTGAAAGATGAAGAGATTTGAGAGAAATCCCTTTGGTTGGAACAGGTGCATAAGAAGGGATTAAGAACAGAATGGGTCTAACCCGGACCTGCTTGTGTTTGTCACTTTCTTGTAATTCCACATGTGGACTTGTGTGTGCTCAGGTTAATGTTCAAGAGCCTGAGTTCTGTGTTGCAAATCTGCGTCTGCACATTTGAGCAAGCACAAGTGCTCTTTCTGGTGGTGACACATTTTTGACGGTGCCCAGCCTGGGCTTAAGCAAAGCTCCTGTGAGCGTTAACTGGACAGGTGCAGCACACACTCAGCGATTCCTAAAGAGCACCGATAGATCCATAACAGGCATCTCACCATCTGCTGACCAGACTCAATACACCTCAATTATTCATATCCTGACAGACAGACAGGCAGCAGCTCAGCCGGCATAAGGGAACACAGGAGGGAAAAGTAAAGGGAGGAAAGTGAAGAAGAAAGAAAGAGGCTGATTGAATGTAGATAATAAGGGTCAGAGGGAGGGAGATGGAGAGGAACAAACACGAGTGGGAAAGAGAGTGAGGGATGGAGGTGAACTTTGAACCTGCGAAGCTCGAGCTGAAATGGAATGAGAAGAGAAAAATGACAGTGACTCATGCTGGCTGTGCTTCAGCAGCCAGGTGAGAAGAGTGCCTTCATTACACGCACGCACGCACGCACATGATTTTGTTAGCCCCCCCATGTCACATTTTAGCCCTGAACATTTGTTTTCTAGGTACGATTGAATTTACATTCCAAATCATTTGAAAGGAAAACATGAACAAGACAGTAGCATCTACATATTTAGAGGATTGCAGTAGTTGTTTTACATTTTCTTCCTCCAACCTTTTCCACTCTCTTCAACTATGGATTTCCTTCCTGTGGATTTCCTCTCCATATTTCACATGTAACAATTCTCTTGGATGAATAAGGAGCCAAGGACATTTTTTGATTGTCAGGGAATAAATAAAACAAGAAAGGGATGAAACCATGGAAGAAAGGATGGGTATATGAGTCTATCCTTAATTTGGTATGAATTTGGTTTGCGAAGGAGTGGCTGGAGGCTGGCTGACTTATGTGTGTGGGAGTGATTGTGTTTTACCCCGGTACCTGCAGTTCCTGCTATTTCAGCAGTCATACAGAGCTGGCAGATATAGCAGTAAATCCTTTCATTCTTCTCCACCACCTTTATATCCACTCTCACTGTTTCCGTGACTTTTTTCCTGTTTTTCTTTACTCTGCTTGTCTATCTCAAAGCTCAGGCACTCTTTTTGCTCTAACCGATCACCAAATCCCCCCACTCTCGCTCCCTCTCCATGTCTTTGTGTCTGGAGGATAGGGCTGTCATGTGTCATGCTTTGCAGGGTTTTTACACACACACACACACACACACACACACACACACACACACACACACACACACACACACACACACACACACACACACACACACACACACACACACACACACACACACACACACACACACACACACACACACACACAGGCAAGGCCCCTTTGCTCCTAAAAGCCTCGATACCTTGCCATTCTCCTGTCCCCTGCTGACATGTTCTTTTGTGGTTGCTAAATGGCAACGCCTTGGGCCATAGGGGGCCACGTATCCTGCAGAGACAGCTTTCAATCTTTCTTCACTATTTCACCCTTTCTCTGTATTTCTTTCATTCCCTGTCCAAATTGTTAAATCATTCAATTTTAGTCATATAGCTTTTGTCCACTGTGTATCATTAAACCA